AGAGAAAGATTTGTTCCTTTCTTCAAGTAAGAATAGTGATAGTGTTCACAATGCAAGCATTTTGATGTAATTAAAGTTATTACGTATTAAACAATATTTACATTCTCGTTGTTGGATCTTATTGAAAGTCCTTATATATTTGAAGACAGTAGAGCTTTTATTTATGCGGTGTATATTAATTTTAGTTATTTGTTTTGGAAATATTATTGTTTTATAATCAATGTTATTATTTATGTTATTGTCATCACTATTTTAATACTTTTAAATATAGTTAAAAGTTATATACTGTAAAAACTCCTAGTATAGTTTTAACTGTTTTAGGAGTAAACCTATTAAAGCATGAAGCATTAAAGCAAAGTGACCTGTGAAGGTGAAATATCTTATCAGTATCAATTTGAATACCTTTTGTATTGATGTTTCTCGCTAATAATTATTGTGCGAAATGACCATTAAGAATTGTGTGAGCAGTCCAAAACTTGTGCTAAAAGACTTGCACGAAAACTCTTTTGTGCGAAATGTCCTATATTCCATCATTATCGACACTGCAGTCCTCCTCTTCAGGCAGTAAAATTTGGTGCCTGTACTATTACCTCCTATAATTGCTTGGATTTTCGTAAAATTTAAGAAGTCAAAGGATTGCCCTAGTGGTTTGAAAATTTATTTTACCTGTTGTGCTTGAAATAAAGGAGAATATTGCATTGTCATTAGAGTTTACTGAAATATCCCTCTTAAAATTTAAAAGTAGAAAATCAGAATTTTTTTGTCTCCAAAATAGATATTCATTTTGATATATTTACCACATGAAGGAAGATACTGTTTTTCCTTGGACATGTAAAGAATCAGTATTATTGGGAAACCATAATTATGCAAGATCACTGATTCAAAATTGTTACTTTTCCCCAGAAAAACCAAGGAGATTATTTAAAATCCAAGAAAAGCACTGCTAAGGCTGTTACTTTGAAGAAAAAGGAAGAAATTTATAAAGAAGAAACTAGTGTGGAAAATGGGGCAGATGAAAACCTCACCACAAACACAAAGAAAAAAAGACGTAGAAGAAAGCAAAAGGAACCTAATGACTCTACTCAACAACAAACCAAAGAGGAATTAAACAGCAGAGGCCAAACAGAAGGCACACAAGGATTGAATGTTGAAAAAGATAAATCAGATGGGACAGAACACAACCATGCCAACTCAACTCACGAAAGTGAGCAGTTTCCTAGTCTGCAACACAATTCTTCAGTTGTTGATTTCTCCATAAATAGCACTGAATGCACAAAATCAGATACCACAAACTTAACAATAAGTTACAGTGACAAAGTCAAGAGTGTGGCAGCAAAAAATGTGAGCAATAGTGGCCATAGTGCAGTGACAGTGAAGTCTTGGGTGAAGGATTTTATGGAAAACAACCCTAGAAGGAAAAACAAACACCTTTTGAGCTCAGATAATTTTGATGGTAAGAAGGTGTCAATTGATAACTTGAGCTGTGCAGATAAAAAAGATGATCAGAGCGATGATCAAGAGAAAGGACCCAAGGAAACATGGAGTGCATTGAAGGATAAAGGATATGAAAAATTAAAGCATGGTGAAATCTCCAAATTAGGAACTAGAACAGTGGATCAATCTCCAAGAATGGCAACACAAAATCAAAGAAATAACTATGTAAAAAAATTGACTTGCGATAATGATGACAACTGGAGACTCAAGAGGAATGATACCGATGCTGTGCGACATCCTACTGTTTCAAGCAAAATGGAATCTTTTAAGAGTTCAAACATTAGGACTACTGATACTGACTCTGGGAAGAAGAGAACTTGTCAAGAAAAAATCAAGGTTGATGGACAGAAATGTGACACAAGACATGTTGCACACAAAGAATCGGGCAGTGTTACTGCCAAGATTGAGACTTCAAAGAAACAGCAAAACTTGAATGGAATGAGTTCAGTTTTATTGACAAATGAGAGTGATACAAAACAGTATGATTCTAATGTTAAAAGGAACTTTCAGTGTAACCCTCGGGGAACATCTGATGAGAAAGAAAGCTCATTGTTTGGTTCTTCAAACAGCAGAATGGAAGAAGGTGACTTTCCCAATTTATCTGAGAGTGTAAAAATTAAAAGACCTTTTACTGTTGACAGACAGGCAACTGAACTCAAGGAAGTAATCAGTTTTCACAAACCACCATCAGCTCCTTTGTCTTACAGTGCTGCATTGAGAGCAGTTCCTAAACCAAAGGTGAGTTACAAAGTGTGCATGAATGTTTAGTAAATAGCTGGAGTACTACCTTAAGATATTATCCCTTTGTATTGTGTTCCATCAGAAATGACCTACAGTAGTGATAGTAGGGTGCAGTAGTGAACGTTGATTTTCTTGGAATTTAAAGGCCGGCCATTTCCATCCGAGATCCTTTGCAGTCATTTGTTTTTGTTTTGGAATCGCCCTATTGTTAAATGGCGAACTCTGATAGTCATTCACAAACACTATTAAAAAGAAAAACAAAGATTTGGTGAAGAACACAGTAAACAAATTTGCAGCTAAATATTTGAGACTGAAAATCATAAATCGAGTCTGTGTATAAAACTTGTACGAAGCTTACTTGATGTTGAAGGAAATTGTTTGGCTTCAACACTAAATAAAATA